GTGCGTGCGTGCGTGCGTGCGTGCGTGCGTGCGTGCGTGCGTGCGTGCGTGCGTGCGTGCGTGCGTGCGTACGTACGTGCGTGCGTGCGTGTGTGTGTGTGGCCGGCCCTTCTGAAGTCTGTGTGAAAGGCTCCTTTACGGAAACAAGATAGATTCAAGCAAAGTCACTGTTGTTTTCTAATGTCAGGGTGCATTTTATGTTCTTACTGTGCTGTTACATTATAAACTCTTAGTTCAAAATCAATTAAAGAAACTTTTATTGAGTTTCACATGTTTCTGTTTTAATTATATCTGATCAAATGTATGTGATCTGGCATTGGCCCTTTTTCCCCAAATCATTTCTTCAATGTGTGATGTCATGTTTGTGATTGTTGATCATTTTACATCTGTGTTTATTGGCATTTTTTTATTGACGATACTTTACAAAACTGACTTCTTATCTTGCCAGAAGTTGCACATCTGACAGGGTGGGTGAAACTTTGAAACGGTGCTTTTGATTCACCCCTGAACATAAACGATCAATGAAAGAAAGTCAATCTTCAAGTCAAGTACATTTTATTCATGTAGCCCAACATCACAAACCACATATTTGCCTCATATACTTTACACACACAAACATTGCAATAACAGATGTGTGTATAAATCATAATGTAAAAAAAAAAAAACAATAAATATGGAAAATCAGGATGATAATATTAGAGATGGATTGTGAACATACATGTCTCAGGAGATCTAATTGTACTACTATTGTCGCTGCATGCTACTAATAATACTGTTATTGATATGACTGTTTTTTTCCGTAGTTCTAGCCTTGTGCAATGTGCACTACAGAGAATAGTGCACATTGCAGTATCTCTGCACTACGCAGTACTCTATGTGAAGCACATCAACAACTCTTCACCCTCCTTCCTCTCTGTTTTCAGGCTCCCGAACCATCAGAACATTTTAATGGACAGGACTCCCACACTGCTGCCCACACTCAGAGCGCCAGTCGCAGTGGCAGCCACAGCCGAGCGACTCATTCCCACACCTACAGACACCTCAGCAGCAGTTCCTCCTCCACCCACCAGCCACAGACCCGCGGTTTACCACAGCGGTCCCCCCAGGTTCAAGCACAGGCCCAGGCCTCAGACGGAGGGGTCCCCCCTGGTTTAGCCAGCACCCTGGAACACATCATGGGTCAACTGGATGTTCTCACTCAGGTAAGCAGAAGATGTGTTGATCTCTCCAACAGCAAGCATTGTGCTGAGGCTGTGCCACCCACTCATACTGCTCAGAACAAAAGCTTACTTTCCTTTCAACCTGCAGCCCAGAGATGGATTCAGCAACACAGACACACAAATATCTTTTCAAAAAATAAAAAGAACAGCTTCTTCCCTGCTGCTTGGTACTGCATTGGACTGGCACATTGAATGTGTCTGTGGTAGAGTGTATTCCTACACTAAACATTCATATTTACATTTCAGTATTTCCTCAGCAACCATCCTCTACAGAAGGTGGAAAATGCTGACACTGTCCACGACTAAGTCACCTGGGAAAAAAGCTGTTTTGCTATTTTGATGTTGATGCTGAACGCACAACAAATACGTTTCCATTCCCCTCTGCGATCTGGAGGAAGACAATAATCTGTCTTTAAGTAGAAACCCTTTTTTGTCTGTTTGTTTTCCAAATAATTTGTGTTGTTTAAGTAAGTTAAGTATGAGACATTTGTACCTTGATGCTAGCCGAGATATTTGACTTTACCAGTTTGCTTGGTCTAAAAAAACTGTTCCAACAAAGCCCGACTAAACCAGAACCTGCAGGACTAAAAATAGACCCTCGAACAAAAACAGAAACCATCAGCAATCGGTTAAGATCCCGAGGTCTGCTTCGTATCAATTTATGTCATTTTAATATGTTGTGTGCGATTGTTTAGCTTCATAGATCAGTGACGGACACTGAGACTCCTCACTTGTGGAGTAACTGTTGTAGAATACATCAAAACATTCGACGCTCAAGGGAAAGTCGACATAAAGTAATCCCTTTCACTGTCCTGTCCCGTATGAAATGAAATCACTGCAGCTGTTGCACTTGCAACTTGTATTAATCTTTCTTGTAAACATTGAGTGCAATGGACAGCAATACATCTTTTTGTTAACCGACCTGAGGCTGCAGCCAGTTGCACTCTGCACCGGACCACCCCTCATTGCAAGCAGTTCCTATCACCTATCTAATTTATTTTATATCTACATTGCTGTTCATTGTTCAGATACTGGAAGAGACCACTGTCTGCCGATGATTAGAAGGCATGATTCCTGTGAATTGTGAAATGTGCAGCTGTGGAAGTCAGATGCTGGAAAGAATCTTTGTTTTAAAGGGCATTCCCGGTACGATCGCATTCAACTTCTATTTCTTATGTCGATCCAAATGCGTGTTTGATTGAAATCGTTTATCTACATTATATCATTATCCTGTAATTGCTGCACATTTTCTTCAAAGTATTTAGTTTGAGCTTGTTGATCTCCAGATGACTGATTGAGCACCAAATACTGACGTGGTCCTCATCTCAGTGCAACTTCTAAGACCCTTAAAAAAAAAAACTCATGCTCATACCAACAACTCATGATATATTGATTTAAGGGTGTGTGCATGTTGTGCTTTCCAGTATTTTCCATAAATATGAGACATAATGTGCAATTTCTTCCTTCAAAGTCTTAGCTCACATTGAGGTGAATGATGAGAGGGAGGTTGTGTTTGTGTGTTTCCGTCATGTGTTCAGGGTTTTAGCTGGAGGTCGTGAACGTGCCCTGAGGGGGAAATGCATCATTGATATATGAGTGATGGCAGCACTCTGCCTCACTCACTGATATTAAGTGTAAGTGCTCAATGGCCACACTGAGACGCAGAAACACTTCTTGTTTGTGTGTGTGTGTGTGTGTGTGTGTGTGTGTGTGTGTGTGTGTGTGTCTCTGGCTTCTCTTCTGTCTTTCTTTCTTCTTTCAAGTTGCAGTCCAGCATGTGGGAGTATTTACTATTGGCCCAGAGCAGCCAGGCAGCTAGCTAACCTCCTCCCAGGGGGGGGGGCAACCTCTTCCTTTCAAGCCCACTGTACCCCAACCCTGATACCAGATGAATCGTCTGCATCTGGTTTTATCCTTCTGCTCTTTTAATGTTTCATTCTTCTGCTCTAGATTAGGACAAGAGATTGAGATAACTGGTAAATCATGTACGTGGTTTCTGTAGAGTTTTCTTCATATTATACACATTTCTGACCATCTTAAGGCTGTCAGTCAAAAACAACATTGTTCTTTTCATGTGGCTTTGCAGTGACTTCAGTAGTGTCAATCCAGTAAAGGATACAGTACATTTTTTCACCTTATACGGTGTGTAACTTGTGTTTTAATGTCCCTTTTTACTGTGCTGTTGCACCAAAGGGACTTGTGTTAACAGCTGATTTAGAAACTAGTAACATAATTTTTTCGCAACTTTGATTTGGTGTGGAACAGAATAATTTCAAAGCCTGCATACAGTTCAGTAACAATGCAGCAAGTAGCACAGCTGGTACCCATACAGATGTTACCACTGGAGGCACCTTACCTGCTGTTTTATTCACAGCTTGATGAAGAGAGTTTAAAATACAAAGAGTGCTACAACCCATGAGTGCGACCCTTGAGGCCTTCAGTTCCCTAAAATACAGACGTTGCAAACAAGGCATGTTACAGTCAGCCCACTTTAAGTATCTCCTAGACAGGTTCAATCCAGCTATGTTGCATTTTACTTTCAGAGCGCACTCGTACAAAGCGACATTATTAATTTCTGCATTATATTCCGTCTTCTTTTATACGTCTTTTCTCCAGTATCATCTCTTACTAGTACAGCTCTTTGTAACTCTAATAGTTGAGGAGACTGAGAGGGAAGATGATGAATTATTCACCGTTAGACTGGAGCTTCCAAAGCCACAGTTTGCTGTGTTAGCTTGTCTGCCCCCCCCCATCTCCCTTTCTTTTCCCCTCTCCCTCTGTTTGATAATTCATTGCTCTCACATGTCCTCTCACACTAAGCCTGCCATACCCACACTTAACCCCTTCTTTCACACACACCCCCCCCCCTCTTAATTATGAAGAATCTCCAATGAATCATTTCTCTCTCCCAATTTCATTTACCAAGTCATGTTTATCAGGCGCCGTCTTCTCCCCAATACACCACGAGACAGAAGGTGAGAAGATTTTGTGAACTTTCTCTGTGATGTGGCTCAACGGGAACACACTGTAACACAAAGGTTTTTCATCAACACTTGCTCCTTTGAAAAAAACATTTTCCTTCTCTGTAATTCCCCCAAACTACCAGAGTAGCCAGCCACAATGTGTGCGTCAGAATAGATATACATAGATGTGGACCAGTCCACTGATTTGGTATTTCTGTTAAAGCAGCCTTCAGCAGAGCTGCAAGGAACATGAGGAGAAAGAGAAAGAAACATGTTCCTGTTCCTCAGAAAAGAATCAAACCGTTTCTGTTTGAGATTCTGAGGAAACGCAGTCCGTCTCTGGTTTGTCTGTTTTCAGTGGTGTTCTGGGAGAATGAAACGCGGCAAAGAAAAATTACTGCCAACATAGTTAATTTACTTTTTTATTTGAACTGTAGAAAAATCAAAGTCACAAGATAAGTCACAACTCTGAGAAATACGGGCGCTTACGTGGCACTTTTATCATACGTACCATTTACAAATCATTACATCCCCCGCATGACTAAGATCAGTAGGGAAAAGGCTTCTTGTCTGTACAATGCAAACATGTTGGTATTAATATACTACATAATTACTTGCCAAAAATGCCCGACTCACTAAATCGCACTCACTGCCATTGACTACAGCACATTGCTCTGAGGCAGGTATGTGGTGCGATGTTGAGGGGGAAAGAGAAGAAAAAGAAAAGAAAATAATACTTTTTACTCTGAAATGTTGCCATTATGTCTCGTAAAAACATATAAAATCCTTTATTGCATTTTCAGGGGAGGTTAAGTATAAATGTAGTAAAAAGTTCAACCAGCAAGTTAGCCTGTTAGCATGCTATGGCAGCATTAAGCTTAAAGAGCCAACGGTAACACGAGGCTGAAGCTTGTAGCTGATGACTGTTTGGCATTTATATTTGAACCTGGTTATGGATGCTAACACCACAGCAGTGCTTCTTCTACACACACTTTATTGGTCAGTCACTCATTCACTCCATCAGTGTGAATGAGTCTGATGATTTTAGGCTGTACGTACTGTACGTATGTCCCACTCTCGTGAACGCAAAGTCTCAGTAAAGTTTGGAGGGATTTTTTTCAAATTAGACACAAACAACCCTAGCTGGATGGATGGATGGATGGACGGACGGACGGATGTACTTTATCGATCCCAAATTGGGAAATCACTGAAAGGATGAACTGATTAGAATCTGGCGGTCAAAGTTCACTGATTCACTTCCTCGATGCGTTTGTCGTTGCTGTGCAACACGTTTGTTACTCTCTCCGCAAAAGCTTGATCCTTCTGTATGATTTTATGTTTTTCTGTATTTGTGTTTGAAACCTATATTTTTAGGTTGTTGACCCCGTTTGATGCGCAAGTTATGTTTATTACGTGTGTGGTTAAGCGAAGAGAGAGAGAGAGAGTGATGGTGGATGTGCTCAGAACAGACAGCAGTTGAAGCAGAAGAGAAATTAGCAGGAAAGTGAATGCAGAGTCTAGGTTTCAGTTCGTCTCTGAATAAATGCTGCACCTCACCCCAAGTCTCACACGTGAAGCAGGAAAGCTGTCAACTTTGAGGATGTGGCCATGTTCATAATTGTCATGGGATGTAACTCAGGTCTGGTCGGTTTCACAGAACAACACTTTAGATCAGTAACCCAAAACCGAAACAATGTTGAAAATAGCACGATTATACTGTTGAATATATTATCTGTCTCAAACGTATCTTAACCATGTCATATGAAATGCTTCTTCAGAACAAATATAGCTCAAGCTATAAAGACTTCAAATTACACCTTGAGGTGGACGGACAAGTTTTTACCAACTTTTTAATTTAATAATTTAATGTCAATCATGTCCAGTCATATACCAGGTAACCTAGTCTTGTTTCAGTAGTTGGTTTTTACCAGTTCCATGATTTTATGCGATCACTGAAACCAGTTGTTTTTGTCTCTTCTTTTGTATTCTTGTAACTCACTTTAGCAGGGGCATATTTGATCATCTGTTACCTACATTTATAGAAAAGAAGAGACTTTTCCACCTTTCACTGGCACCGGTTTGCCTTCTCTTTGACTCACAGACTGTTGTAGGGTGGGTCATACCAAAGCTATGAGACTCTGTAACAGAGGCCAGCAGCGCTCAGGGCGATGGAGAGTATAATGTGTTCTGGAGAGAAAAGAAAAACAGCTCACTCTATTTTAAGGAGCATAAAGATTTGGTTTCCACTCCAGATGAAAACTATATGCCCATATAATGTTGCCACTGCCTGGGGACACGTGCAGAATCTCACACACACACACACACACACACACACACACACACACACACACACACATAGCTGGCCTGGGTAGCCATATCAGGTTGGTAAGATAAACAGGGTGGTATTGATCTAGAAAATGGAGACAGGCAGAGAGAAGGAGGGAAAGAGGAAATACAAGCCCTTTCTCTCCCATGATGCATGGAATAGCAGGAGACGTTATCTAGTTTGACGACCCAAAAGAAAACACCACTTGCCCGGCATTAGGTGTGTGCTGAGTGTGAGATTATCTCAGGGATTTAATAATCCCTGTCAATTCTTTCATCATTCCGTGTTTGATTGTTCATGCCTGGTCACGTGTGTTTGCCTGCGTGGCCCTGTGGGGTCAACGCAGGACTTCAATAGCCAATTACCAAATGCAGCTCTATTGCCGGGACATGCAGCACGCGGTGTCTTGGGTTTTGAACATGGCCGCGTTTACATGCAAGCTAACAGTTGGGGAGAATATTGAGAAGAAAATAGAAGTTCTTCAGTGTTTAAATGGTTAAAAAGCAGAACGTCTTGGTGCTGTTACAGAAATAAGATGTTTATTTAATAGTTCTCTTATTTTAGCGGCCTAATGTGAACACCATCTCCCATAAGCCCCTAGATCTGTGTAACCGCTCGACTAAAGATGCGAGGAGCGGCGATTTGCTCGGGCATGTCTGTAATAGCAGCAGGACGGAGAAGACAGCGGAGATAACAGCTAAAGAAAAATGGCTTTGGTGAATTTAACGGATATGGATGAAACGAGTTACAATGACGTAATGTTAAGTTTCATTGGAGCTGTTGGAGCGAATCGTTGTTTAACTTTGATAAAATCACAAACAGCCAGTGCTAAGTGGAGGCAGTATGTCTGAGAATATGGAAAGTAAATCTTAACAAGAACGCGCTTCATTTCTTTCAGAAAGACAGATGAAGGAAATGAAAACAAAGCGATTGTGTTGAGTTACAGACGCTAGTGGAAAAGAGCTTTTCTGTTTAACGTCTTAATAGATAAGTGGAGCCGACATGATGCGTCTATCAATCATCACCCTATTAGTGAAAAGAGAAACGGTGTTGACGACTTTGGTCCACCAATCAAATCACAAACTGATATATGATTATGCTGCTTCTGGGGGTTATGATGTTAATTTGGTTAAAATAATGAACCGCACTAAAACATTTACATGACAGTGTGGATTTGTAATCTGAGTATCAAACGTTTATTCCCTAAACCCGTCTCTCTTTTGTCCTTACTTGCATTTATTTGATTGTTTCTTCTTCTCAGTCTTTGCTAACTGGAATGAGAGGAATTTAAGTCTTCGATAAGTTAGCCGTTCGGCCGTATGCACGGACAAAATAATGCTTCTCTTACGGCATGACGACATATGCTTTGATTTTCATCAGATCTTAAGAGACTCTTATTTTGTGTTCATTAATACTTTGGCTTGATTTGTGGAGCGAGGATAACACTGGAAAAATAATCAACTAATCAAGTAGTCCTTAGAAATCCAATGACAATCTTTAGTCGATGAGACACTGCTACCAGAATAGCCCTGATTGTATGAAGTGACCTTAAAATGATCGTGAAGGAGAGACGATCCTGGAACAGAAAGGAAACAAGAGATCAGGAGACACAGTCCCATCACGATCATATTATTTAGACCCTGCACTTGATATCATAGTTTTGAGTCACTTCCTGTATAGTTTTAATGAGCTAACCCAGCATCAGGTTATTTCTAAATGAAACAAACCTAAATTCGAGCAAATGAAATGAAACTCGCTGGCACAAGGAGGGACATAAAGTTACAGGTCGAGACATGTTGACATATCTTTCTGGAGAGCCTCGTCTGTTGAGGGGGAGACATGTCTGCTGTTTGATTGTTCCTGCTTTTAACCAAGCACTACTATCCAAAACTGCTGACTAGCTGGGATCATGGTTGTCACCGGGCGACATTAGTTCAGTAAACAATGATGTCAGAGATTTAGAGGGAACTCTAAAGCCAAGAAGGTATCAATCAACACTTTAGACCCATGTCCTTAACTGTGTGTCATGTTGGCTATATAGTTATTATTTCAGGTTATCTGAACACGACATCAGTGGACAGAAGCAGTAATTTAAAGGTTAATTTAACAAACAGCATAAAGTCTTAACGCAACTAGCTCACCCTGAAGTTGAGTGAACTCACAAAGACTTCTCAGCTTCTACATTTTACAGCGTAGGGAACTTACTGGGTTTATAGCCTTCAAACATATTAGAAATATGTTTTCACCCAAGGCTCTTAAGCTAACACGTTCTCTAACTACAGCCACTATAACGAGTTAAGAAGTGCAGTACTTTGCTCAATTCTCCTTATCGTGCCAGAGCTCTGAAGAAAAAACAGTGTTTTGTCTTGAATCCTCTACTTCTTTGTATTTGTTTCAGATGATAAAAGGCTGATTACGTTACTGCCTTGATGTTAGATACAATAAAAAGACAGAACAGCCAGCTCAGTAATCGCTTCATTCAGATGGTGAAATTACACCTGGGTGCTCCTCTGGTAAACAGGCTCAGATGACACAAGTGCACAACAAATGCTGTCACTGTTGGAGGATGCCGAGAGGAAAAGTATGTCGCACTGTGATCTCACTACCCACACATGCCCGTCCTGTTTCGGATAGCGACCTTCTTGTATTCTCTGTGTGCGTAAGGCTGTTTATGCAACTGTGTGAGAGGGAGAACAAGAGCAAATGCGTGCCAGACACAGAAACTCTGGTGTTTTCAGCTCAGGCAGCAGATCTCTCTGCGATAATCAGCTGGATTGTCTTGCATGCACAACATCTGTCTCGAGCACACACACGCACACACACACACAACTGCCTCTTTCACACACACAAACACAGCCATTATATAGTCATTACTGTCAAGTTGATGCTATACAGCCCTCTCTAACATGCTCTTTCTCTCTTATCCATCTCCCCCCCCCCCCACCCCTCCGGGGTGATACAATAAGTCGAGACGGACAAG